CAGCATTAGCTTAAAAATGTTTGGGAACAATATAATAGCATTTGCATTTTCTTTTTGATAATAATGTGTTTTTTACCATATGGCACAGACCTATGTGTTAAAGTTATGTTGAAGTTTGTTACTGAAGATGTAGCTTTGCTCATAATTTTAAAATGCATTATTATAAAAATAAAAATTATCAAAGAAAAGTTGTAGGTACATCAACTATTGTTTTAACCATTTGGWTAAATGGTCATACAGATTAATTTTGTTCTTCAATAATGTCAGAATCACAGTTATATTTTGGTTTTGATAAAAGTCCTACCAGGCCAAAAATATACCTTTTTGCCTTGGAAAGGAGGGGGTGCATTATWATGTATCTTTATAAATATGAAAAGAAGTGGTTCGCTGATGTTATAAAAGTGCGACACCAATAGCTCGCCATTAAGTGCTTGCCATTCTGGGAGTAAGTTCTAATGTAAACTCTATATGTAAACTCTTTTCCCTTCCAAGATTGATGCAAAGGTACTTTATGTTTCCTGTCACAACTGGCCTTCCATTTAATGTCACCTTACAGTGATGAATTCCCTTTGAAAAAAAATTGGACAAATGTCCCGTTTTGGAATGCCTACAGGAAAATGAAGGCAGAGACAGCACCCACAGATGGTAGATAGACACAGCCATGGATGTTCATCTTTTATGCTTGGGGAGTGAGTGTGTGTTTAGGTTCAGGAAGGATTAACAAATACACATCCGTACTTTCATACTTTCTAAGAGATGGATTTCACCGTGTGCTGGAATTTTTCCTTTACTTGTACAGGGTATTTATTTTGTATACTGTTTGAATTCTCATAGTTAAGTAAACATGGAYTAGTGGCACAACTCAGTGTGATACAACTATAAACTGGTGGAAATTACCTGCTAAATCTGTATGTTATATTATTTAACACAGTCTCAGTTGATTGTATCTTTCTGAAACTTGTGTCCTCAAGCAACTTTATTACCTGACAATAATAATTTTAACAAATACTCCACATGMACCTTTTTTCCGTGGCTTGTCCAAGATTCCTCATTTTGTAGGTCTCTCATCTACGCAACATGTTCCCTAAGGTTAAGAATGAAAGAGGTCTCTACTACAGACACTCTTGATTGAAATAGCAGATAAATTGCTGCAGTAATGAGAAAATTTCCTTTTCCCTAGATAACTCAGCTGCTTAGCATTGAAAAAAAAATTGAGATGAAGATTCTTTGTGAAATAAAAAAATTAAGGATAATTTCTTTACGATCAGAATTTGCTAATGAGCCTACTTTGGAAATGAAGAGCAAACTCATTGTTTTAATGGAAGTATGATCAGGCTATATTATGAGACATGCTCTCAAAAAGAGACTTGTATAAATACTGTGACATGCAGTGGCTTTAGAAAATGCTGCATGTCTGGAAGAAAGTGGTTAAAAACACATGATGAAGTTAACCTAAATCTTTCATTGGCTTAAAAAAATAGGTCAAGTAATACATTACTAGCTCCACTCTAAGCCTGTACACAATCCGTACATTCCAAAGTGAAAGAGGTTTTGCTTAACATTCCTACATCTACTTTCATTCATGGTATGGCTCAGTTAAAATATTTAGCTTCTCATAAATGTGATTCCCTTTTGCTTTCTTTAAAGTAGAAACTCCTGKTTTTTAACCACATTAGTCTCTCCTTAAAAAGATGCTTGAATAGATAATTTATTTTACCTGAGTTTTAAAACTAAAACGATGACATGTGTTAATGCAGTAATTACCATGCAGTTTATGTGTGACTTGCAAACAAATTTGTTTCGCTTYCCTCAGTCTTTGACTTGCAGAAGTATCATAAAGAATTCTGTAAAGCGTTTGGCAGACAGCGWGCGACACGTCGAGACGTTTGTTAAACACAGGCACACAGGAGGTGCGATGAAGGTCGCATGCACTTTGTGGCTTCGTTTATACAGCCAACTTCAGCCTCTATCTCTGCACACTCTCTTCTTTGGTGGCAGCAAAGTCTAAAGAACAATTTGACATTTAGTGCAATTTCTGACAGCAGAGGTTTGGGGGATGTCTACCAAAATGGAGGGCTGACTCTTTCTGGGAAACACTGCCCAAGTGTTGTTTTGGGTTTTTTTCCTCCCAAAGTGTATTTATTTGCCACGTGGGCCGGCAGCGTGGCTTTGGTGAGCCGSTTTGCCCCCGATCCTGGAAGCGCTTTCCCCGGCTGCCCTCCTTCCCCCGCGGCACAGGGCCCGCCGGGTGCCCTGACAAAGCCGGGAGGGATGCTCCCCGCTCCCGGCGGCCTGGGAAGCTGGGGCCGAGGACACGGAGACGTGCCGGGAGCCGGCAGGAACGGGGCCAGGGCCGGGCGGGGGCAGAGCCAGCCCAGGAGCAGCCGCAGGTACCGGGGCCGCTGCCCTCCCGTGCCGCCCTCCGCTGCCGGGAGCATCCCGGCTTCCCCTTCAAAATAGCCGTAGTAATAAATAATAATAATAAAAAAATAATAATAGTAATAATAATAATGATAATGATGATGATGATGATGATGTAGTTTCTAGCGCGAGTTTTTCGGAGGAAAAGATGAAAATGTAAGCTCTAAACCCACAAGTCCTGATAACACTGCAAGCGCCCTCCCCCCTATTATTGCAAGGCAGCCGAAGGGGRAAAGGAAAAAGAAAAAAACAAGTGTTATTTTTAAGCCACCGCCGTTTTCATTAAATACGGGTCCTCCGGTGCTGCCGCTCGTAAGTTTGTGTCCGGGGGCTCTGCGCCTTCAGTCAGATTCATTAGAGGGGGCAGGAGGGGATGCGATTCGCGTACGTGCGGCCCTGCCCTGCCCTGCCCTGCCCTGCCCTCGGCGCGCCGGGCGGGGCGGGGGGCGCATCCCCGACCGCCTGCATCCCGCCCTGCCGCCTGCCTGCCTGCCTTCCGCGCCTGCCGGGGTTACAAAAGGGTTAAGAAACTTGGCTGGAGAGATGAATGGCGCGGCGCGGGGAGGGGCCGGGCTGCGCCGCGGCGGGCGAGGTGGAAGGCGGAGAGGGAGGATCGCGGCTGCGGGTTAGGCTTTGAAAGTCAGCCTCGCAGGCATTGCAGCAGAGCCCCGAGCCGCGGAGAGCAGCGCAGCGGAGCTCGGCTCGCCCTGTATGTGCGCGGGGATGTGCGGGGCGGGGGGACGCGCGGAACCGGGGGTGGCGGGAGGCGGCGCGTCCTGCCCTGTCCAGCCCTGTCCTGTCCTCCAGCCCCGGGGACCCCGCCGCCCGCCTCGGCTCCGGCAGCCGCCGCTCCCCGGAGCTCCGCGCTGGGACCGGCCGCGGCAGCGGGGCGGTGTGCGCGGCGGCTGCGGCCGGAGCGGCTCCGGGGGGCTCGGGCAGCCCGGCCGGGAGGAGCCGCGGCGGCTGCGGGGTGAGTGCGGCGCTGTTCCGCCGGGGAAATGGCCGAGCGGGGCGGGCCGGGGCCGCGCTGCCGGGCGGCGGCACCGGGGAACAATGCCGGGGTGAGCCCGGCGCGGCGGCGGAGCCCGCCCCGCGGCACCCCCGGTGCGGGCGGAAAGTTTGCCCGGCCGCGGTGGGTTTGGGGGAGCCGCCGGAACGGAAAAGTTACTAGTCCGTCCCCCCGGGAGCCGCGAGTGTTTTGCCGAGCGCCGGCCGCACGGCCGAGCCCAGCTTTGGCAGGGACCCCGCGCTGCCCCTCCCGCTCAGAGGGATCCCCGGGGCCGCGCTCGGTGCGCGGCGGCTGCGGCGGCGCCCCGGCCTCGCTGCCGGTACTGTGGGCAAGGCCACACCGTCCCCGCCGCCTCCCCGGCCCTGGCAGTGCCCGGCCGCCGCCACCTGCGGGCCCGCAGCCACCCCGGGGCTGCTGCTGCCGGCCCCGCTCGGCCGCGGCTCAGGCTCGGCTCCCTGCGCCCCCCAAAGATGCCTTCTCATCGCTTCGGGCTCCTTAGGGACGTCGCTGTTTCCCTTCTAGACTAAAGGTTACTTTTCCAGACGTGGGTTTTTTTTTTTTTTTTTTTTTTTTTTTTTCTGTGTGTCCCCGAAGCCCTCTAAAGGTGAATTTTAAAATTTTTTCTCCCCCCCTCCCCGCCTTACAYCCTCCGTTTCTCCCTATGGAACACGTTGTTTGAGTCTGTTCTTTCTAAGTGTCAGTGGGTGATTAAGTTGGAAGATAAAGAAACCTAAGGAAAGGGCGAAACGAGGGGCAGCGTTGTCGCGAGCAGACAGCCTTGTGTCTGTGCTGCAGCTTTCTTCTGTCGTGTGTATCCTGGTGGTTTACTGGGCTTTTAATTTAAAGAAGGATTCAGCTAAAATGCTTGACACGTGTTGAAGGTGTTGGAAAAAAACAGTGGGATTTCTGGCTTTGGGATTTTGTTGTTGTTAAGAAGGCTGAAGTGGAAGTTGTCCTCTTTTGCCTCATCTCTCTGGAATCTGGAGACTATATTATTCCTTGTTTTATTTTGAGGGGACCTGCTGCAGTGTCAGACAGCTCACAGGCTGATTAGAATTTAACTGAGTCATGGCACTATAAATGTTCGGAGATACCGTAAAGCTTTATTTAACAAAGAGTGCGAATCCAATCTGCGGAGACGTTATGGGGAGGAAGCAGTCACTTGTGGAAAGGRGGTGGTGTATTCCTGAGTGAGTAGGAAACATTTTCTTTAATACTCAAATGCGATTTACTGTTTCTGGGGCTGGCTGAACACATGAGAGTGTGACACRTTAAGATGCCAGATGACAAAAGCTCTCTGAGCTGAGGATATCTTGTGGTTGAGGTCAGATTTAATGRCATCTGAGTAATTGTTACTATATGGGCATCAGTTGCTAATATCTTGGAGAGCAAAAGTTCTCATCGAGAATGGTGTTCAGGCAGATTTGGGGTTTTTGCTGTTTGAAGCAGCTGTTTTCCCAAACTCGTGGTCGAGAAGTCTGACTTCTTGTTCTGTCAGTGGTCTCCTGAGATGAAGTTGATACAGACTCGAAAGGAAATCAGCAAGTTAGTCATGAGTGAAATGGGTTTGTAAGGGTGTTTGTGTTCTGTTAGTGGGAAGGAAGAGGCAATGAGTAGTGAGTTGGTGTTTTGGGCAGGGGTGAAATCTGACCTGCTGCTAGGCTGGCCTATGMTTCTGGGTTATCTAATGAGTGGAAGCTATCAGTGGCTTTCAGATTTTTGTAGGCCATGCATGCACAGAATACAACATGCAGGCAAAYGCCAAAGTGTGCTGGATTTTGKTTTTGGATTTTTTTCCTCTTAGGGTAGAAAATTTAAGATGAAAAAATGCTCTTCTTCTCTACTCCTCATACTTGTTTCTTTTTCTRAAGTGTTAAGATGTGCTAACCAAAATTTATTATAGTCAAAGACTGTGTTGATAAAGAAGTAAAAGTAAATAATGTTTTTATATTGTAAACTTAAATGGGTGATCTAATCACTGGCTGTATCACCTGCAGTGTTTGATAGCTGTGTTTGGGGTAAATTTGTTCTGTAAAAGGCATCAAAGAATTTTTTTTTTAAGTGATTCAGTAAAGTTTATAGAACTCAAACATGGATTAACTTTACAGTGATTGTATTGGCCTGTAATTTTGCTTATTGYGGGATTTGCTTAAAAGAATTTATCAAGTCTTGCTTGCTTAAAGTTTTTGTCTCTTCAGAGCTAACTTTTTTTTCAGGCTTTGAACATAGGCAAAAGGTTTCTATAATACCAGCTTTATTATCATTAGCGGTGAGAGCACTGTTAATTTTACTGGTGACAGTGCAGGGCATGAYTATAGTAAAAAATAAACTCTGTTTTATGTTGTGCAGAGCACGTGTATAAACTCACCCAAGGCAAAGCCAGGGAGTTGCATTTCCCCCAGTCACCTGCCCTKCTCTAGGGCTGTACTTGACTCCTGGCAGGGCTATCAGGGAGACATGAAGACCATAAAATTTTTTTTCTTTTTAGAATGGCTCTTCAGAGTTTGCTTGTACCTCCAACCCCAGAAGTCTTGTGGTTGTTTCTTTTTACTGTATGTGAATGTGCAGGGAATGGAGRGGATCCAGAAGAGATCCTGGGGAGAGCGTGGGGTTCCCAGCTGGGGGCCTGGTTTTGGGGTGCAAGTCCCTTTTCCAGGAGGGCTTTGGTGGCCGCCCTCCCATGTGGTACCTACAGACAGGGCAGACCCATCTCCTATGTACTGAGCAGGAGGAAGGGTTAATAGGATAACTATCCTATGGATTAAAACAAGGATAAATACCCTGTTGGGACAAGAAGTGCAAATTTTGAAGTATAAATCATTACTGCTGAGGAGGGCAGGCAATGACAGGCAAGCAGAAAGGTACATAGGTAGGGAATGAAGGACGAGAAGGTGTGAAAGAAAATGCATAAATGTACAAAAAAGATAAAAACCATAAATTTGACAGCCCTTCTAAACAGTCTTGAACTAAAGACAAAAAGGTTAATGGTAACAGCGTTTGTGGTTTGCTCTTGCTTCCTGCCAAGGGGCCAAAAYGATAAGAACAGTAACTGAGCTGTGCTGGCCTGCCTGCAGCAAAGAGGGRGAGTGTTTAACAGGGTTGTGGCATTGCTTTTGGATTTTTTGGTGTTAGAGTTTCCCYGGTTGCACTGGAAAACACTGAATTAGCAAACAGCATATGAGGGTTGGCAGGCAGTACTTTGGGTGAACATCTGGGATCATGTGAAAATTTCCCTTTTTCGCAGTGGGAAGATATTCCTTGGAAAAAGTGGGCAGAGGGGTTCTTTTGGTAGACATGAATGCCTGCTCTTTAGGATTTCTTGATTATTTATTTCAAATACTTGGAAATGCTAGTGGACCTATTTAGCACTTGAAAGAATTAATTTGGTAATTTATTTGGCTGTCTGTTGCAGGTCACTTGGCTTGATGGTTGAAGAAGGAGAATAGGAACTAAAACTCACGTAAATAAATATTCATGTGTACAAAGGGGAAGAAGCAGTTGCTAGACATTGTAGCTTGGGTCAAACCCCTCCTGGCATAGTCTTCTCATACTTAAATTGTTATTGGAGCTCATTGCTCTTGTTTAATTGCCTGTCTTGAGTGAAATTTTGTTTTCATACCACTTGTTTCTAAATGCCATTGCCTTCAGCAGAGGAAAACCAATTTTGCTTATAGACAAAATCAGATTAAAAGCCGAAGCTACAGATCTTCTGTTTTAGTCACTGGTTTCKAAGAGGCTGAGTAGAAAAGAAGAAAAGAAAAACTCGGTGTTGCGAAAGAGTTTGGTGGGGCTGATCTTCTTCCTCTCAAAAAAGGAAATTGAGACTGAGTCCTTGTGATGAGATCAGGTGCTAGATGTAAAATGGGTTCCAGTTTTGGATTAAACTGGTTTTTGAAAACAAGTGAGTGAGTATTTAATTTGCCCCAAAATGTGGTCAGTGAAGTTCTGTGTTGAGATGTGTCCAARCAGCAAGTCTTGCTCACAGATGAATATGTTTGTTCTCTTTGGTCATTAAGTTGTTATTGTTAGTCTGATGCTGATTTTTTTCATAGYAAATTTGAAAATTCATGGCTAGCTGCTTTCTGTTTCTTCTCTGTGCCCCATCCCATTGTGAAAAGAGAGAGGGAAAGTGGACTGAAAAGGCCTTTTCACTGACGTAGAAAGCAGGGCTTGCCTCAGATGTAGAAAGGAATGATGGTTCTTGCCCCCTGAGATGGCCTTGGTGGTGGTGTTTGTGTCATCACCTTTCCTGCATTTGGTAGTCTGTAATGCAAAAAACAAATCGACATTCCAAAAACTGTAAGTTGTGTAAAGCAAGTGGTCCAGATGTAAAGTGTTTGGGAATAAAATACTATTCTTGAAACCTTTTTTTTCTCCTCAGTTTTTAAAACGTATTGAAGGAATATTGGATTTTTCCCAGAACTAACGAATTCAGTTGTTGTCTTTTCACTGAACTTTCATAAACCTTTTGTAGTCACTTGGAGCAATCCAAAAAAGACTGTTTAATGCTGACCTAAAGGAAMTCCCATCTATGCATTAAACTTCGATGGCAATACTGTGTGCGGTGGGTCTTTGTGCTTCATTTTGTGTTTTTCCCTACTAGATAGCAATCTTTCTTCTCTGGGAAGTAGGAATGATTAAATTCACCCACTTGTCAGTGGTGAAACRCATTTTGTTTACATCTATGGTATAGAACAATAATGCTGGAATTAACTATTTTTCTCAAATTCAGGTGACTTGAAAAGATGAGTGTGATTTTTTTAATAGAGCTGCTTACTTCTGCTCTGTGGGACCTCTTTTCCTGTTTTTCATTGACCACAAAAGATTCCACATAGAGCTTATTTACCCTTTCAATAAAATGAAGTTGAGAAAGCTTTGAAATATGTTTATTTCCACCTTTGCCACTGTACCTGTCATTTCTCTGTTTATTTTTACTGTGATGGTAGATTTTTTTTTTTCTCTTCCTAATTGAATACAAATGCTGAGGAGTACTACCCTTCTGTGGAACAACTTATTTTTTCATTCTGCGATGTATATGGAAGAAGGATTTAAAATAATATCTGCATGTAGTATTTCAGGGTATTTACTCATTTTTCAGCTTAATYGGCTCTGTTATTGGGCATCTTTTGTTGGGTCGTGGTGCTGGCAGTAGTCCAGCTGGCTGCTGTTATTTCATGTACCTGAGAGCTTTGAACAGGTGTTTTTTTGGATGATGACCCATCGATCAACACCTGTATCTTTTTTCCCGGCTAATGGGCACATTGCAGTGGTCAGAGTTGGATGTTTGCTCTAAGCTGGCTTGAGCCCAAGTGRTTTGGTGGAGTGGGAAATGCTCAGATGTGCCCCCAGCACACCCCCCCCCCCTCCATTCTTCCCCCTTTATTCTACCCACCTGTGGGATACTCAGTGCTAAAGGAATTCTGTTTTTAAAAACCTTTTGTATGCATTTTTTGTGAGAACAGAAGCTAAAGTTGTTGTAATAAGGAGAGGAACTCTCCCAGTGCCAARCAGGAGGAGGGAGGTGAAAGTTCAGCTAAGTGGTAGAGAAAGTCTTATTTATTTCATTTTTTAAAATGTATTTTATTGTATTTGAATTTGACTCTATGCATAATAAACTTGCTGATTGGGTGCTAACTTGATGACCTTTAATAGTGAGGTTTGTCACAACAACAAGGCTGAAATGGTAGAAATATGAATGATCTGGGCTAGCTGTAAGCTTGCAACCTCTAGCAAAAATTCACTTAAGAATAATTGACACACGCTGAGAAGAACTTACAAGGTTGTGATTGTGATGGATAACATTTTCTAACTAAAATAAAATAGTATTATATACTATTTAATTCTTAAATCTCTCAAAAGCAAATATGATAATTTCTACTGGGTTTTTTTTCTAATTTTGTGGCGTTTAGCATTACACTCACCTGTTATGCTATACTCTTGTCTTTTCCTTGTGTATATGTAAATTAATAGAGGCTCTTTAAAAACTGATTTTGATGTTCATGGATGCAAGTTTGAAGTGTTAAGCAGTAACCACTACATAGGAAGGAGGGCTTTTATGTCACAGCTGTTTTTTGAATGAAAAGGAAGGAAAAGAGGGCTCTGGCTTTGAGCTGAATGTGGATTTTGTTCTAGCAGAAATAATGTCCCCTTAGTCAGTACAAGTCTAGAYAACATGAGTTGTTTCTACTAGTTTCGCTCAAGGTTCTGTCTGGAAGATTTTGATTTCTGAAGTTTGGAACTACATTTTTCTTCCGAAATAAAGATGTTATTTGCAGTTTTTTACTGGCCAAAATCAAGCATTGCTTTCTGTTGCATCCACAGCAAGAAAGTACATAGAGGTATATTAGGTAGGAAAAAATGKTTTGCGGACTTTCATAGGGTGATTTCTGCTATTCTTTGCAGATCAAGCATGAAATTTTTGAGGAAGAGAATTAATGCATCCTTGTACTCCTGAAGGAAGAGCTTTCCTAATGGAACCACATTCAAGGTAAATAATTTGTTTGGGTTGTTTACCTTGTCTCTTTGGTTTGGGGTTTGTTCTTTGTCTTGCCAAAGCTGTCAGACAACTGTGTCCCATGTGTAAGCCTTTTAGGATTATAGTGTGTTTTGAAGTGATAAATGTTCAAGTTAATCCCACACTTTTACTGTGAGAGTTAGAGGGTTTTTTTTTTTTTGAATGTGTGCTGATTAAAGAGAAACAAGTGTTTTTGTAACGTCTGAACTTTTGTATGTAATTTGCTGTTAAGTTCTGAAGATCTAGCCTGCTTGTTTGGGTCGTAGCTAAATAGTGAAGAACATGATCTATGTGTCATTTCAGAGTGAAAGAGAAGATTAAATAAYACTTACTGTGTTACCATCTCTCTTATTTTTTAAATAAAACAGATCCAAATTGAGCTTGTGTGGCAAGGGACCGTCACAGTAAAATCGTTATTAGATATTACATTACAATGGCTTGTAGACRTTTAGCATCACTGTCATTTTGTTTGGATCTGCTCCCTTGGTTCCCATTTCCTAAATCCTATTTTTCTTTGATACCAGGGAATAATTCCCCAAGTGTTGTCCAGTGATTGCTTATGTGTATGCACTTYGGTTTGTGAGTCATTTTATTCACTTGAGTAGCCCCACTGTCCTCGGTGGGCCTACATGCGTGCCTAAGAACTTGAGAATGCTGATGAGCGTAAAGAATACAATTTGGGCATGTAATGGTTGACAAGCAGTTGTTGTTTTGTTTCTGGTCTCTCTTAGGACTCATTTGCATCGCCTCCAGTGGCAACTTTTGTGAATATTAGTAGGGAAGGTCTAGAAGCTGGAGGCAGTCATACCAAATCCCAGCCTGCAGAACATGTCATATCCACTGTAATGATGCAGATTGCAGATGGAAGGATGTATTTTTCCCTTTTTAATAAATCCATGTGTTGCTTGACTTTACTTGAATACAGCATTGGTCTGTGTAGTGCAGTTTGAGCTTCTCCAACACAACAGAATATAGCCAAGTGAAATCATTAGAAAATGTAAACATTTTTTTAATTGAAGATGTTTGGATTAAATCAGGATCAATGCTTTGGAAATAACTGGAAATTGAGATGAGAGATCCATTTTTTCCACACAATGTTTTCTGTTTGACTTTACAAGAAAAGGAGTTCTAGCATTGCTGTAGTGCATCTCAGTTGTCTGAGGAATTGTATTTACAGAAAAGTTAATGGTATTACTTGCTAGTCTTAGAATCAGTAAGATAGGCACTTTGGAATTAAAACATAATTAATTAATTAGCAATTGAAAACTGGAGAATTGTTGTGATCAGCMGCAGATGGTCTCAGCTTTAATGGAACTTAGTAGACAGTGGCTTTTATGGCAACAAGCTTTTTGAAATCTTTCACATCTTCAAAAACAGTTAAAGTAATTCAGAGCTTTGTTTCACCATTGTTGCCTCTCTTTAGAAGTTCTGTTTAGTCAGGGTTGCAGAAGCATAAGTTGTAAACAAGGATGTTGCACCAAGTATTCAAGTTGTCAGTAAGGTGGTTAAGCTAAAGATTTGAGAACATATTTGTCAGTGTATATGTGGCTTGCAATCCCAACGTGGTTTGCATTCTTTTTTCTGTTTCTAACTAGTATAACAGAGCAGTTATGGGCTTCATCGTGGTTGTTTTTTGGAGTGGGGAATAGGTTTGTTTGCTAGTTATGAGCACTAATTGCGGAATACCTCTGTTGGAATACCAAGTTTGCGTTGTATACATAGTTTTATTGTGGAGGGCAGTAGTGTCTTGACCAGAGGTTTGTTATTGTCACTGGAATTAGAATGCTTGTTTAAATCAGAGTTCTGGACCCGTAGGGTGGCYTTTCTCCAAAAGAGTACTGCTTTAGAAACAGAACTGGTGGTCTTGTTGATGCTGTGTAAACTCCATGAATTAAGAGATAGTGGAGCAGAAGGCGGCCATGCTTTAGTTGAGTTTGCCTAAAATGGAAAGTATGTAGCAGTGAGCTGGAATGTATAAATTATGTCATGGTGTAAGTCTATGCAAGTCTGAAAAACTTCAAAGGATGCAACTCACCTGGAGATGCAGATGACAGTAACAGGTTAATAGTAATTGTAACTATCTTGTCAAAAGAAAAAGATGGTGACTCAGTGTAAGGAGGGCTGGCAGAAGCAGCCCTTAATTGAGGAGAAATTGGTTGCTGTAAACCAATTATGTTTTATTTTTAATGATGGGTTTCAGAGAACAGCAAATGAGTTCAGTATGATCTTGGCTGATAGCATGTGCTTTTCTTGCTGGATAAAAACACAAGTGCCTTGAGGATATGAAGTTGCAAACAGAAGTTTCACCTCTTTTTTTCCCTCACTGTCCTCTCTCCTCTGAAGAGGAAAAAGGAGGCTATGCCAGTGGAACACACTCCACTTTTTTAATTGTGAAACTGGTTAGTGTTAGGACATATTTTGTGTTCGGGGACTAACATTGCGCTTCAAAATTTGGTAAAGGGGTTGGTAACTTTCAGGGTAGTGAAGCATCCCTCATTCCTTCTGTAGCTTGGCATTTAATATTTTACAGTAAACTTTAAGTTTAACATATTTGAACTTGTACTAGATAGGGTTAATAGGCTAGAACAAAAGGTCAAAGCATAAGGCATTAGGCTTAATTAAGGGAGAGCAAGAGTGGCGGGAGTATGTGACAGTTAAATGGGTTTCCCACAGACTAATGTCTGTTACAGTGCAACCATGCCTCAACTTAAGTGGGTTATTTTGTGCAAAGGGCAGCYGTGATTAGCAGTTTGACATGCCAGACGTTTCTGGCCAATCCCATCTGTTTTAGAGGTTAAAAAGCATACCTTTATGAGCTGATAGATTGATTTGTGTGCCCGTCTGGTAAAGATTAGAAGTCCAAGGCCGATGCTGTAAATGCCAGTTATAGAATATTGTACTTTCTTAGCCGCTCTTTGTTTAAATGGTGGTGCAATGGGGCCAGCAGCTCTAAAAGTGACCGTGACAGGGCTGCCACGGTGAGTGTTTGGAACCAGAAAGGTCTAGGGAGGAACATTTCCTCCTTCCTCAGGTTTGTCTCGAATGTGAGCCTGCGGGCTTTGGGCGTCTCACAGTGCTTTGCTTGGAAGGGGAATCTGGCTTAGCGCGTTCCCACGTCGGGCTCACGCCTCTCCCTTGCAGCTCGTGTGCTTGTCCAGAGGTTACCTGTCTCAGCACGAGCAGTTCTCCAGCTCCAAGCACAGTTGGCTACAGGACAATTTTGGTACTTGAAAGGTTTCAGCATTTGTCTGAACTCATTATGCTGTCCGTATCCTTCCTGCTCTGCTGTTGAACTGGGGCGATGTATGCGTATTCTGTTGTTTTTCCTTTGTAGCTCTTACTTTCAGGATAGTTTTTCTGATTGTGTCATGAGGTTGCCTTAGAAGCCTAAAATAAAGTAGGTAGCACAATAAGTCTTGACTGTGTTTCTCGTCATCTTTATGACTTTGTAAAGTCAAAGTTACATTACTATTAATATAAGACTATTAATAAATCGTTGATGCAATAAAACTGTTTTTGATAATGTTCAAGGTTCATACACAGTTGAAGGTGATTATCCTATTTTAAAATCAAGTAGAGGTCAGACAGTATTGTGAGATAACTGACTGTGGCCCAAATGATATGTGATAGCTTCAAGTCAACTGACAGTCTCCCTCACTTTATAAACAYGATTTAGAAATAAATTGTTAACTTAAAATGAGTGCTGATTAACTTCCGGTTCRTTTTGTGAAAAGCAGGGAGACATACACACTCACTTAAAAGTGATGCTTAAAGCTCATTTTTRAGGCACTGTGTAAGTTTCCCCTATTCTGTCTCTTTTCCATTCAAGCAGTGACACTTGTAGCTAAATATAACTGAGACATATTAGAGACAAATTAGCATTTGGCACCTTRCATTTAGCATTCCTACATTAACTTTTAGAATTAGTCTGCTGTCTAAAGTTTCTTGGTTTTCTCCTTGCAAACGTGATTATCTTTCCCTTCTCCATTTAAAAGAAAATGAAAGTGGATGATAGCAATGATTTGCTATTCATACTATAAAGACTTCATGTACCTGAGCTATACTTTTTCTGTGGCAGCTCTGACCTGTTCCTAAAGAGATTTCCTAATTTGCCAGTATCTTGTCTTCACTTTATGTAGCTTTGTAAGAGTCACCCTAGTTTTTCTTTTTTCTTGTGAAAGTCTCTTCCTTTTACTTCTGTTTGAAATGCCTAGAAATATTTCCAGTGTCCTTTAGGATGAGCAAGGCAACATCATTATCTTGCAGTTTATTTAGTAACATGGAGCTGAAATGGGCATATGCAGCATCATGTTCTCTGTGGAATAATATCTATTTAAATGATTTGGATCTAATACATATTTACATGAAAAAACGTCTTGCCCTTCTCTGTGGGGAGAGAAGGTGAACAAGCATAAATTTTATAATACTCATTGCTTCTCTTGCACTAAATCATACTTAAATTGCAGAAGGTTGTTGGCTTGAGAGTTGTATAAAAAGTGCTTGGCTAGTAAAGTAGGGTGCAGGGAGATTTATCTAATTTAATACTAAGAAAAATATTGTCAGCTGCAGTGTGTTGATATGAGACTGCCTAAATCCAAAAGCTGTACTTCAGATTTTTGTATATGTATATTTGTAATAATTTCATGGTTATAATACACAAAATACAATCCTGAAATGATCCATTAGTGCAGCATGCATGTCTGCTCTATTTCAGCTAATTTGATTGTTATTGATCATACCTTAGCCATTATCTAATATCTTGGGAATGGATGGACTTTGTGCCTACATTTCTGCTGTTTCAGGGCAGAACRTACTTTATCAAGTTTCTTGCAACAGTCATTGTTAAAACTTTTTTGCAATTGCTGTTTGAGCATTGTTAGCRTTTCCCACTTTAAGTGTAGCAGGGATGAAATAATAAAGGTTTCCATGTAGCATTCTAAAAGCTGTACTCTAGTCAGTTTAGCATTCCMAAG